ACATTGTGGTTATTTTTTTAAAATCTTTATTTTTCTGAGATACATACTAAAATATTTACAGATGCATTGAATTAGGAAAAAAAGAGATTAGGATAGAGGTGGTGTTGTTGTTTTTTTTAATCCCAGAATAGGCTTTTCTGAAAAATGAAGGGGAAAGACAACAGAACACAGAAGTGGAGAACAGATGTACTTAATGGAGAACAGATATCCTTACATGGCTGAGGGATAACCACAGCTGGACACTTGCACCTCCCATGCAGTGTTAGAGGTTTGAGCTGACTCTGCTGCAGAGTCACATGGCCTTCTCAGACCCTTCCAGACTCTGCTTCTCTGTATTAATACAGAGGTCAGCTTCCACATCTCTCCTTTAGACCTGAGCTTTACTACTTGGACCTTTGGGACCAGTCCATTCCTTCTCCTCCATGAACACCCCCTTATTGAGGAAGTATCTGAACATCTGGCCTAAGGACTCCTTTTTAATATCTCACCTCCTTGTCAACTTCTTCAGGTCGCTGAAGCTTGACTTCTAGAAATTGATTTTTTAATTTTTATTTATTTATTTATTTAAAGATTTTATTTATTTATTTGACAGAGAGATACACAGCAAGAGAGGGAACACAAGCAGGGGGAGTGGGAGAGGGAGAAACAGGCTTCCCGCTGAGCAAGGAACCCGATGCGGGGCTCGATCCCAGGACCCTGGGATCATGACCCGAGCCAAAGGCAGACGCCTAACAACTGAGCCACCCAAGTGCCCCTAGAAATAGATTTTTTTTAAAAACCTGTTTTCAATTACTCCTTTTGGCAAAGTTTGGCTTTTTCATCTCTGGTTCTAGGCTGGTATCTGGGCCTAGTGTCTGTACAGTACCACGCCCTCTCAACAGCCAGCAGGAGCTCAGGCCTCTTCCTGTCTTGAACCCTCCCTCACTGTCAGACCACCTACCAAGTTCCTCTTCTTTGATGCCTATAGCTCCAACTTGCATATCACTTGCAGAGTAGTAATAATAGGAGTTACGACTTTTTGTGGGTTTGCTAAGAACCAGACTCAATAGTAAATGCATTATATTAAAACGTACGTATCATCATGTCATCATTCTGCTGTCATCAGACAATCCTGAGAGGTGGCTGTTAACCTTAGGTTAGAATCCTTAGATTCCTTAGGAGGAATCTAAGGCTCAGAGAGGTTAAGTAACTTGCCAGAGGTCCTACGGCTAGGACCTCTTAAATACCAGGGCTGGGAATCAAACCTGAGTCTCTGACTCCACACCTGAGGTACTCAGAGGTAACTGAGACATTGCTTACCAGGCAGATAGGACCTTTCCTGACTTTGTTTCCCAGCTTCTCTTTGATGACTTTCTCCCTTCTTTCTTAGTTATTAGCTGTGGGCAAGGTAATTCAGTTTTCAGTTGTTTGTGTTCTCCCAGAGAAGAGTTTTCCAAAAAGAAAGAAATCGGTATTGAGTACTTACTGGGCTCTGTGTTGCTTTCACTTCCCTTCACTCCCTCCCCCACTTACAACTCTTCTTTCCATTGCTCTTAGAACAAAACTCCTTTCTCTGACCATGGCTTTAAAAGACGTGCTGGTGCTTCCCTATGTCCATGGTCTCATCTGTAACTACTCCCCTCCCCACACACCGCTTCCTGCCATCCTGGCCTCTGTGCTCTTACTGGAATACATCAGACTCCCTCCAACTCTGTACTTAGCTTTCTTGCAGCTCAGAATGGGCTTCCTGAGATCTCTGCCTGGCCAGCTCCGTCTCGGACTTGAAGTCTTACCTTCCTAAAACAGCTGTCTCTAATAATTCTGCCTGAAATTTACCCTTTTCCTCCCTTCACTCTCGGTCACATCCCTTCATTTCATTTTGTCAGAGCACTTGCTACCATGGGAAATTACCATCTTTATTTATTTACTTTGTTAGTTGTTGTCAGTCTTGTTTATTTGGTAAGTTTTTTGAGGAAAGGCAGAAATTTTATCCAACTTATTCTCTACCGTATCGCTGTCGCTTGTGATGGTGGCTGGCACAGAGTGTCTCTCCATAAATGTTTATTGACTGCATGAGTGGATGGGATGGATAGCAACCAGTATCTTCCAACAGGAGAGGAGTGGTTCCTCGACAAAAGGGGCCTAAAAAGTGGTTCCAGAGAGGGTAGCTGTGTGGGAGAAGATGAGAACTTGGAGAACAGGACCCTGATTTGTCTCCCTTGCTTTGCAGGCCAGAGGCACCCAACGAGTTCTATGATGGAGACCATGACAATGACAAGGAAAGCGATGTGGAGATTTAAGAGCAGCTGGGCTTGCTCTGTCCCAAGGAATTCCTTTTTACCTCTTGTTTGGGCAGGAGGGAAAAGGTGTGGCGCTCCAAGGCCTGGACGGTCACTTTCCGGGCTTTTACCAATGCTGGAAGAAGGTTTGGAGACCACGTCTGGTTTTTGAACCAACTATCCCCTTTCCTCTTCTTCCCAAGGCCTGACAATGGTACTTATTAGGGATTGGACGGGGACAAGGATAACTTCCTCTAGGACATCTTGGGCAGTGGGCCCTAGAAGCTGGTCCCAGCCACTTTGGCCCCCTTACTCCTTCCCTGCTTCCCTCCAACCCAGAGACTTTTAGGGATGAAGGTGTAGACAGGGTTGACTTTGCCTCTGACTTTCTCCTTTCCTGGGTTCTCCTACTGCAGGCCTTGTTTCCAGTGCAGGTGAAGAGTGAGGGATTTTGGGGGGCTCTGGCTCCCTAACACCTTAACCCCTGATGATGGGAAGTACGGTTTTGAGTCCGGGGAGGATGTGAAAATGTTCTGTTCTAACTTTTGGCTTTGTGTCCATTTTATCACTGTTTTTATCCAATAAACCAAGTTGGTATTTTTTGTACCTTTTGCTTTCCTGGGAATATTCTCTTTTTTCTTTTTTTTTTAAGATTTTATTTATATATTTGACAGAGAGAGACACAGCGAGAGAGGGAACACAAGCAGGGAGAGTGGGAGAGGGAGAAGCAGGCTTCCCGCGGAGCAGAGAGCCCGATGCGGGGCTCGATCCCAAAAAGAAAGAAAGAAAGACCCTGGGATCATGACCTGAGCTGAAGGTAGCCACTTAACGACTGAGCCACCCAGGCGCCCCTCCTGGGAATATTCTTAATTCTTGCTAGCTGACTGTGTATGAAGGAGAAGGAAGGGGGGCGATGTTGTGTGTAATAAAAATCATAGTTAACATTCATTCAGCACTTATGTTAGGCCCTGTGTATGCATTCTACTTGGATTGTGTTATTCATATTAAGGAGTTAATAGAGCATTCTAGTTACCAGTTAGACAAACCTGGGCAGATTACTGGCTTAAGAGAGAGAGTAGAAGATGAGTTCAGGTTTTTGAACCTGGGTGTTTGAAATGGTGTGATGCTAGTTGGTGAAGATACATTGGGATAAAACATGTCAAGTGCTTAGCACAGTGCCCGACATAAGTAGTTGCTCATTATCTTAATGTGTATGTGAAGAGTGATGGTAGATACTATAGTAACCACAAATGTGAACCTTTCCCTGAAGCAGTCTATAATCCAGTAAGGAGTGAGATAAATGTTATAGAAGATGTAGACAGCGGTATGAGAAGGAAGAGTGATAGATGGATCACTCCTTCCATGTTTTGATCCTGTCTTGTCTGTCAGTACTCTAGCTTAGAAAGTAAGTAGTTTTTTTAACTGTTTTGGACAAACTGAGTTTGAAGTGTGGGCCGGACAGTTCTTTGCAGCTTTCCGTCGGGCGATTAGAAAATGGAACGCAACCAGCTTTATGAGGCAGCCAGCATTGGAGAGTCCCTGTAATATCCCAGGCCCCAGACTGAGCACCGGGGTCTCAGAGATGTTGAGTCACTGACTCTGCCCTCCAGGAACATATATTTGAAATCTTTTTCCAGCTGCGGGTAAGATAAGTAAGTCCATACTTTGAGGGCCTACCAGGTGCCACTAACTTTTCACAAGAGGAACAGATGTAGCTGGAAGAATGGATGAAATTATTGAGGGAGAAATCAAGCTGGTCAATCAAAGAACACTCTTGGAGAACACCTGCTTTTTTCACTCAGGTTTGGTTTATGTCAGTAGGAAATCTTGGTCAAACAGGACTTCCCAGACTAACCTGGGTTTAAATTTTGTACCATTTATATGTCCTTGGGCAAGTCACTGTAACTCCTGGAAGTCCAGATTTTCTATCTGTAAAGTGGTGAGACTAGTGGAATCTATCACACGACAATGTGAAGATTCAGTGAGGAAAAACAGGAGTTTTACATAGTGCCTGGCTTAGAGCAAGTGCATGGTAAATGGTAATTATTATTACTGTGTAGTCACATGTTGGCAGTAGTTTTTCAGATTAAAAAACAAAACTAGAAAATAGCAGACCTGTGATTCAAAAGTAGGTAATGTAACTCCAGGGCTAGTTGAGTTCCAGTCTAGCACTTGCTCTGGACCAAGCTCTGTTTTTGGCTCATAGCTTTCAATAAATGATAGCTGTCCCTTTTAAATTTTTTCATGTGCTCCAATGATAGTGCACACATAAAAACTGTATTATCCTCGAAAGACTGGCACTGGATTTTCGACCAAGACGACACTCTCTCTTATTTGATTTTTGGTTCACCTGGTCTAGGATGTGAGAGGGTCTGGGCTTCACAGCCACGTGGGCACTGTGTGGGAGCGGGGAGGCCTGCGCCACGCAGACCGCCAGGTGGCGCCATTCCGGGTTGAGGCCGCGGAGTTGCACCGCCTACACAGCCCCCCCCCCGCCACATGGGTCCGAATGGTTAGGCCCGCCGGGCAGGTAGCTTGCTTCCGCGGCTTCCCTCCACCCCCTCCCTTCCCCCATTGGTAGGAGCTGCGGGTCCGGGCGGAAGTGGGGCAGGCGGGCGGGAGCGAGGCGTCGCCGTTGTATATTCATGAGGCGCGCGCAGGCCGGCATACTAATGAGGCGGGGCGCGGCGGCCGGCTGAGGAGCTGCTGGGCGGCGGTGGCGCGGCGGCGGCGGCGGCGGCGGCGGCGGCGGCGGGGCGGGAGGTGCGGGGCGGGAGCCGCGTAGGCGCGGGGTCATCTGCCAGGGCGAACCTGGACATGGAGCCGCTCGGCGGGGGCCAGGGTCCCGCCCGCGGGACCCGGGACAAGAAGAAGGGCCGGAGCCCGGACGAGCTGCCTGCGGCGGGCGGCGACGGCGGCAAATCCAAGAAATTTGTGAGTGCCCCTCCCACCCGGTTTCCTCAGCCTGGCCCCGTAACCGCCCTCCGGTCCACAGAGACCCCCACAGCCGGCCCCAGGGGTGCACGCCCGTCTCTAGGGAGCCGCCCCCGCGCCTCTCTTTCTCGGTTTGCTGGGTCCCGGGCTCCACAGTCCGACCTCCCACCCCTCCAGGACCTCGGGAAACCCCGGAGTCCTACCCGGCTCTCGCCCGGGCAGCCTCGGGGCTTTCTTCACACCTCCCCCCCCACCCCCGGCCGTTCCCTCCCCGCCCGCAAGCTCTGCCCTCCGCCCCCATAGCCCGGCGGGTCTTAGCCCCATCGCTTTCCTCTCAGCCCCACTTCCTTTCTTCTTCTCTGTTACCCGCACACGCCTTCTCTGTCTTGTTCTCTGTGCTTTCCTGGGTCCAGTTTCCCTCTTACTCCTACTCCCCCCGCCTTTTTTTTGGTATTCTCTTATTTGCTTCGCCTAAAGGTCACTTCCTTCTCAAGATTGATCCCTTTCACCTGCTAACTTTCCTTGCTCTTAGCCCCAGCTCTGGGCCCTCAGCCCGGTGTCACCTGATAATCCTTCCGCTCTGGAATGTTACCTGACTTGGGCCCTCCCTTCCCTCCTCCCTTGCATGTTTGTCCTTGTGATTGCAGGAATGGGTTCCTGCCCAGGTCCTATGGTCTTTAGGCGTGACTCTAATTTGCTTCCCGGTATTCCTCCATCCAGAGAACCTCTTTGCCCTGTTGCTTATCACTTTTCAGGGGGTTAGAACTTCTCATGATGATGATGCCCCTCTTGACCTAGAATGGTGATTTAAACCTCCCCGTGGGGAGGAAGTTAGGCTGCAAGTCCAAGAAGTTTCTGAGTAATTGAATTGCTTTTTATATGTTTCCCATAATAACCATCTCAGCTCGTCTGCCACCTCCTGTGTGACAGGCTAGTGACATTCCTTTTCTGACCTGTAGAAGAGTATAGCTTTCCTCAGGTGCCAGTGACTTCCAATCCAAGTCTGAAGGAATACTGATATTCATGTGACACTATCATATTTCATTACCTTTGCCTGCAATAAATCTTTTTTACTCCTTTCCCTAGGGAGCTGTTTGCTTTTTACTGTAAAAGCTTTGAAAGATATGGGGCGCTATCCAAGAGAGGGAGTCTTGGATCTTAGTAATCATTTGCTATTAAATGTAGTTATTTAGTCTTGTCTTCCAGGTAATTATGCCCCCTCCCCAGTATCTCTTTGTACTAACCAACTGGATTCTGACTTTTTGCTCTTTCTCTTTCCCCTTATCCCCAACCTTCAGTAGTCTGACCCAACTCCACAACTTTGGGAAGAAAACTGATAAAATATTGGAAACAGGAAGAAAATGTTGCTTTGGGACCTAGAGGATTGAGATGTGGAGAGTACTAAGCAGAATTAAAATAGTGACTCATCTCTTCCTACCTATTTCTAGCAAGGCAGGTGCTTCTGGACTGTCCTTTCCAGTGACTTACGGGCTGTCAGTAACTGCCTGTTTTTCATTTGGTGAACATCTTTTTTTTCCAGAAATGTTGGGTTAATGGTAGTGATGACCTTCCCCCTGTGGTGATTAAAGCAACATTTCCTTATGTTTCTTTAGGATAGGAATTGACACTCAGAACTTTACTTTTAAGACTTAAGTTCTAGCGTCTGTATTGTTTTTTTATTTCTGTATATATATCTGTTATTTTTGTTTTGCTGTTGTTTCCATGGGTACTGTTTGACCTTCTTCACCCGAATTCCAGTTATTTCTTCTGATATATAGTGAACTCTGTGACTTTTGTAAATGTTTTTCAAGTTCTTAAATAGAATTTTATTTGTGCTGTTTTATCTAACACTTGTGTATTTCACAAGTGAAATTGGGGCAATCTAAGTGCATGGTGCTGAAAGTTGAGATACGTGAGGAAACTTCACCTGTATTTTGGAATGTCCATGGAGTCTTGTATATGCTGAGTGGATTTGGCTCAGTTTTTGGTATTTGCTTTACAGAGGGTGGAGCCGAACCAAGTTCTCTTTTTCTTTCTGAGGTGTTGGTTTTAACTCTTAGCCTACTGAACTGTTAAAAAAAGAACAAATACGGAGCACAGGTAGTGAGGAGAATTGCATTCAGAGCTGGGGGATTGGAAAGTTTCCAGAAAAGTAGTGCTGCTTAACCCCTTTCTTGCCAACTGTAACTCACCTCAAGGCATTGGAATTTTCTCTTATTCTTTTTATGAGAAGTCTGTGGCAATGAGAGACTAGGAGGAACATTGCAATCCACTTCTCTTTGTGTCTGTATGTATATGTGGGTGGGTGGAGGGGGAGAGATCACTGGTGTGCTTTTGTTACCCTTGGCTTAGTTTTTTGAACTATAGGCTATAAGCAAACTCAAAGCTGTTTTGCCTATTCCACCTTTGCTAGAGTGTGTGTCCTCTGGAATTCCATTAAGAATGTACTTTATAAAGCTACACTGGTTTGGACCTTGTGTGCCTGAAGGTTATTTGCTTCTGAGGAGTTTCTTACCGCTTCAGCTGCTCCGTACCTTTCCAAGCTTAGGCAGGTTCTAAGTATAGATCAACTGAATGGAACACAGAGCTCACATATTGCCAAAGATACACTCTTTTTTTTTTTTTTTTTTGCCAAAGATACACTCTTAACTCTCTGATACATCTTGGGTGGAAAGCACATGGAGTCGAAGTTTAAACAGTGATTGGGAATCACCTTTTAAAACATTTGGTGGTTAGAGATGCTGATGATGTGTGTGGTTCAAGCCAGGCTGGCTGGCATTCCCCCTTGATTTTTCAGGAGTCTTTCTCCTCCTGGGTCATAAGCATATCCCTTCTCTAGCATTGTTGCACTTCTTGCACAGGTCCTTATGGTGAAAGAAAATAAAAATTTTAAACGAACAGAATGCATTCTGATTTTTCAGCAATGATGAATGTAGGTGTCAAATAGACTGCTGGCTGAAATATGTGTAAAGGTAGTAATTACAACCAGGGTGTTAGGAGGCTGCAGAGTATTCCTGCGTTTTATAAACTACACATGCCTTATAGTCAAGAAGTGGATGCATTCTAAGAAAGAATATTGCTTCCTGATTCAGTTAGGGGCATAACTTTGTAAAACATGAGTTTTAGCTTGGGATTAGAGAGAATAGAAGATACATAATTTTTAAAATCTTGTTTAATTTTGGATGTGTATATTGAATTTTCACCAAGTGGTAGTATTTTCATGCCCTTCTAAAAGCAGAGTGATAGTGAAAGTGTAAATGTTTGGTTGTAGAACCCTGTCCATCCAAAAAGAGCAGTCAAAGGTAGAGGATGTCAGGCAGAATTTTAAACAGATACTAGGGAAGGTAGAGAATATGAAAGAAGTGGAGTTGTTTATGCAGTTAATCTGCTTCTCTACTCTTTTTTTTTATTTTTTATTTAAAACTATTTTTTTTTTTAAAGATTTTATTTATTTGAGAGAGAGAGAGAAAGCACATGAGAGGTGGGGAGGGTCAGAGGGAGAAGCAGACTCCTGCTGAGCAGGGAGCCCGATGTGCAGTCGCTTAACCAACTCAGCCACCCAGGCGCCCTGCTTCTCTCCTCTTAAGACAATAACTTTAATCCAGAAGGTTCCAGAAAACCCAGGAGTATACAGAGAACTTTATACAAGTCATGTGGGTTTTTTTTGGAAGATGATGAACACAGGGATTACTTAGTTTAGAAAGAGACAGGGGAGCCTACAGGAATGTTTCTGAGGTTTGTGATGACAGAATGATACCATAAAAATTGCTGCCCTTTCTCCTGCCTTGTCTTTAAAGAGGTAGCACAAGGATCCACTTGATCATGTTACATTTACTTGTCTTGAAGGAAATCCTCCCTCGCAAGAGGTCAGACTGAGGGAATGCCTCAGAATTAAAATCTCTGCCCTGGGAGAGTTGATAAACAGTGGAATACTTTTATTTTAAAAAGACCTGAAAATTTTATGACTTGTGAATTATGTTTATTATAAAACCTGAGAAAATAGTAATAAGTGAGAAGTGGTTTAAGTTTGTTGCTGGGCATTTGGGTCAGAATAGACTAGTTTTATTTCCTGTATGATAGAACAACCTTTTGCTATCCCATGGGGCCCTCTGTATTTTATAAATGGATTGCCAAGTTATTCCTGGAGAGTGTTATATTTTCAGTGAAATATAGTGGAGGTTTAAAAGATAAGGTTATACTACATGTGATTTAGAAGAACAAGTTAAAATCATGTTTATTAACAAGAGATAGTAGGTATTATAAAGAAAAAAAAGGTTTGTATATGCAGATGGTGTTTTCTCCCATTTTATGTCTCAGTTGAAGTCATTCTTGACTACAGAAAGCATTTCTATTTGAAACAAACCATGTATTACTTACCTGTTCTTCTTTATTATAGTTGAGCCTCCTCTTCCCACTCACTCTTGTTTGAAAGCAGTAGGAAAAAAATTCACCTCTTACTAATGAGCAAAGCAACATTTGGTGTTTGCCCCTACTTAGGGTTAGATGAGACAAAGCCAACCCTCTCCCCTTGCCCAGCTACTATCATCCCCTCTGTCTTTGTTTTTATTCCCTATCTGCTTCTCTGAGGGCTGGTCCGAGTCCCATCGGCAGCTAGGTCTTTGAGGAATCAGGAATGGTAAAATCTGTTGATACTAAAATTTCTTAAAACTTCAAAGCTAAAATTGAAAAATGAATGTTTAAACACTGGGAACGTATTTTGCCTTCTTTTCCACCTCTCTTTTACTCTTTCTTTTGGCAAACATTTTATTAGAGGAATCCTTTATAATAAAGTAAAAGAATTACTGAAGGAAAAGAGAAGTATTAGGACCAATATTTTTATGAATTTTACCACAGATTACAGGATAATTGGGTGTATCATTGTTCTTTCAGCTTTGAGATTCTTCCATTCATTATTAAAGCTTGCTGTGAATGGTAGCCTTAAAATTTTAGTGTTGGAAGGGACTTTAAATGCCATCAAGCCCAAACACCCACTCAGTGCA